CGAGAAGGCCCTCTCCGTGGTTCCCTGGAACTTCACTCCTTGCAGTGAGAGAACCGCCAGAAGGCCCTCAGAGCTGGACCTCAGCTGGACCTACTGAGATTTTGACAATAGGTACTGTATTTTTCGCTCCATAAGATGCACTTTTTTCCTCCTAAAAAGTAAGGGGAAATGTCTGTGCGTCTTATGGAGCGAATGTGTGGTCCCTGGAGCCAAATTGCCCAGGGGCAAAAAGCAGATCATGCTTTTTTTTTTTTTTTTTAGAAAGAGGGAAGTGGGTGTTGAAACAAAGCCGCTGAGTAGCTGATTGGCAAGGGATTGGGAGGGAGATAAGGGACTCTAGAGATAAAGGAGGCTGCCTGGGAGGGGGGAGGTAAAAGCACATGGATCCTCAGGATTTTTGCATTGGGTCACCTCAAATTCTCCATCAGATCACATAGCATGTCCATGGCTATAGCCTGCACCCCCCCCCCCAGATCCACTGTTTCTTGGGGCCGCAATGGCACAAAAAACATGGTTACAAAGCATAGATCCACATGGATCCTCAGCATTTTTGTACTGGGCTACCCCAAACTCACCATCAAATCACATAACATGTATGTGGCCACAGCATGAACCACAAAAATCATACATCCACTGTTTCATTCAGATTTTTTTTTTCTTGTTTTCCTCCTCTAAAAATTAGGTGCGTCTTATGGTCATGTGCATTTTATGGAGCGAAAAATATGGTAAATATATCTCCTTTTGAGGTATTTATTGGCCGATAGGCAGAGGCTTAGGGTGCAATCCTATACATGTCTACTCAGAAGTAAAGTGATAAGTCAGTGGTCCAGCAACTGAATTCCATCCAGAAGGTCACCAGCATCTCAAGGAAGGGCTGGGGGGAAGAAGAAACACTGAAGAGTCTTGGCCAGTGAATACTGAGCTAGATGGACTTCCAATGATCATCTTCCTGTGTTCCTAGGGCTTATTTCCATGTGAGCATGCATACGATTGCATCTTGAATCAGGCCAAAATATCTGATTGGATGACAGCCCTGTGATTAGCTACCCTAACATTCCCTGCCCTCTGATTCAAGAACGTGAGGAGCCAAGCAAGAAGAGGGGGATTTGCCATGCTCCCAAGTTACGGCATTCAGAATGAAAGCCCATCCATCCACTCTTTGCCTTTGCAAAATACTCTCTTGTTTTGCGGCTCTTGACTTTGGCACCACACAAATATGTTTTAGAGGAGCATTTAAAAGCCCTTAAGTCAGTTTTATTACATTGTTAATTATACTCGTGAGCTGGATCGGAAAAGCAGTCCCTGAAGCACTCCATGGGAATGCTAGACATGAAAAGGTGTCAATTTACCGCCAGCCTGAGAGAGTTTTAATGTGTGATTTAATGTGTATAGATTCACAGTTTATATGCAAACACAAATATATGCTTTCCACCCTTTTATACCTGACGGAGCATCTCCACTTCCATCGTTCAGCCCAGACACTGAGGTGCAGCTCCGAGGACCTTCTGGCGGTTTCCTCACTGTGACAAGTGAGGTTACAGGGAACTAGGCAGAGGGCCTTCTCGGTAGTGGCGCCCGCCCTGTGGAATGCCCTCCCATCAGATGTCAAGCAGATAAACAACTATCTGACCTTTAGAAGATATCTGAAGGCAGCCCTGATTAGGGAAGTTTTTAATGGTTGATGCTTTATTGTGTTTGTAACACAAGTCAGATGGGTGGCATATTGTTGTTGTTTAGTTGTTTAGTCGTGTCCGACTCTTCATGACCCCGTGGACCAGAGCTCGCCAGGAACTCCTGTCTTCCACTGCCTCCCGCAGTTTGGTTAAACTCATGCTGGTAGCTTCGAAAACACTGTCCAACCATCTCGTCCTCTGTTGTCCCTTCTCCTTGTGCCCTCCATCTTTCCCAACATCAGGGTCTTTTCCAGGGAGTCTTCTCTTCTCATGAGGTGGCCAAAGTATTGGAGCCTCAGCTTCAGGATCTGTCCTTCCAGTGAGCATTCAGGGCTGATTTCCTTCAGAATGGATAGGTTTGATCTTCTTCTTCTTCTTCTTCTGGAATCTCAGACTTTGCAGTTGAGCCATTGTGGCCCTCTGAGCCTCTCTATTTGGCCCTCTGGACTTCTCAAGGCTATGCTTTCATTATCCTGCTCAATGCCCACCTGGAGTGTTGTAGACAGAGAGATGAGGAGAGATGAAAGGGACTGTGCTGAGGGAGACGGCACTGAGAAGGAATGTTGGGGGCCGCCGCGCTGCCCCCATCCTGAATCTTCCCAGGAGCAGAAGGACAGTATAGATTTAGAAAAGTGGCTTGCAGAGGGGCACAGCTCAGAAGGCAGAAGCTGGGAAATACTGGATGGCGAACAGCTAGCAGATGAAACGCTAGAAGAGAGAGGAGCAACAGATTCACAGTCTCTTGACAGCATACACCCCCCTTCTCTAAAGACACAGAGAGCTCAAAGTGTTAGAACAGAAAGCACAGAGAGTACAATCTCAGATTACAAGGCATAGGAGTGACGTATATTAATAGGGACGGGGGGGGTGTGAGCCTTAATTGGGAGCACCGCCATTCTAGGAAGACACTTTCTTTTGTCCCTCGCTGTGTTTATTAAAGAAACTAACTGGTAAGGATTTCCTTTCGTTTGATCTTCTTATTTACTATGAAGGGGGAGGAAGCAGATTCCCCAAAGCCTGACAAGAGGGTATTTGCAGAAACTTCTGACCTTTGTGTGGCCAGAATGTAGCCTTATCTAGAAAGGTAAGAGCCTGCCACCTCCATTGATCTACTCACTTTTGCCTCTGCCCTTACCCTCTATGCCAGTGATGGCCAAACTTGGCTCTCCAGCTGTTTTGGGACTACAACTCCCATCATCACTAGCTAACAGGACCAGTAGTCAGGGATGATGGGAATTGTAATCTCAAAACAGCTGGAGGGCCAGGTTTGGCCATCACTGCTCTATGGCATGTAGCTCCCAGAAGGTTGCCCACAGGCAGAGAACTGGTTCCCCATGTCTGCTGTAGACCAACAGCTGGGGGGGGATGACTAAATCTGTCAATTCTTGGGAATTAGGTGCCTTAACCTCCACGGGGCTTACTCAAGATTAAGCATGTTTAGAATTTGGCTCCAAGAAGGTTTATTTCATTTATCTTTGTGATATACATCCAGAATTTTCATACATTTGTGACCTCCCCCCCCCCCCCGAATGTAGAGTTAAGAGAGAAAATAATAATAGCAATGCACAATTTCATATTTAATTCAAATTATTTAATGAATCCCATATATAAAAGAAGAAGAACCAGCCTGTCACATTTTCTATCAGACTGGGAAGTTGGCCTAATCTTTCTTCTAAAGTATTTAAATTATTGCCAGGAGTTGAATAGCTGTACTCTCTAAATGTTGTGGGAGGGGTTTTTTTTTGGGGGGGGGGGCGAGATCAACACTTCCTGGCTTGGTTATTATTATTTTTCATTAACACCTAAAGGAGAAAAATCTAGAATTGACAGTAAGAGCAAATGATAATAAATGAGAAGGAAATAGAAAGGACATGACAAAGACTGTTTCTCAAAAAACGACCCTTATGCTTGGACTGAAGAATAATGGAGACGTGTGTGGTCAAATTGAAAATTTCCCATCTGTTCATTATTTTGAAATATAAATTGGTATAAATAGAATGGCATTAGGTTTGGGAGGTTTCAGAGTTAGCCAACTAGGGATCTAAGGAACCTCTGGAACAAAAAAAAGGACTCCAAAGATGAGTGATTGTAGGCTCCCCAGTCATAGGTAAAGGTAAAAGTACCCCTGACCATTAGGTCCAGTCATGACCGACTCTGGGGTTCTGCGCTCATCTCACTCTATAGGCCGAGGGAGTCGATTCTGGGGTTGCAGCGCTCATCTCGCTTTACTGGCTGAGGGAGCCGCGTACAGCTTCCGGGTCATGTGGCCAGCGTGACTAAGCCACTTCTGGCGAACCAGAGCAGCGCATGGAAACGCCATTTGCCTTCCCGCCGGAGTGGTACCTATTTATCTACTTGCACTTTGACATGCTTTCAAACTGCTAGGTTGGCAGGAGCAGGGACCGAGCAACGGGAGCTCACCCCATCGCGGGGATTCAAACTTCTGATCGGCAAGTCGTAGGCTCTGTGATTTAACCCACAGCGCCACCCACGTCCCATGCCCAGTTATAGCTGATCTCAAATTCCAGAGGTGGACCGGGTCTGATCCAGCAGGACTTCTTAATTTTTTACATTAAGTTTTTGAGTGCAGGGTGAATGTATATTGATGCCAGCATTCATATAGGATGGGGTGGGGAATCTCAGGTGCAGGGGGTGAATGCGGCCTGCAAAACCTCTCCGCCTGGCCCTCGGGACTTTGCCTAGACGATACCCCTCCCTGCGTTCCACCTCTAACTGGTCCTGCTCCATGTCCTCCTCAACTGCTTTTCCATGGCTTGACCATGTCCTTCAACTGCAATGCATCTCACTTGCCTAGATGGAGGAGTTTGTGATAAAACCTCTGGGGTGGTATTCAACTAAATTTTACTCAGGGTAGGCCCATAGAAAACAATGCACATGACTCAGTTAGGTCCATGAATTACATCAGGTCTACTCTGAGTGAAGCATTATTTGAATACCACCCCTGGTATTTGCACAACTAGAATTTAGCTAAAAGTACAAAGGGAAGTCACATGTGTTGCCCCACTTGCATCTGGCATAAGGCCCCCAGAGGATTGCCCTCAAGGGAGTGTGGCCCTTGTGCTTCCCCAGCCCTGACACAGGCAAACCAAAGTTGCATGGAGTCATTCTCACACACTGAAACTGCTGGTACCACTGTAGATTGGAAGGGACTCCAAGCCCAACCCCCTGCAATGCAGGAATCTCAGCTAAAGCATCCATGACAGATGGCAATCTAACCTCTGCTTAAAAACCTCCAAGGAAGGAGAGTCCACCACCTTCCAAGGATGTCCTTCTCACCGTCGAACATCTCTTACTGTCAGAAAGTTCTTCCTAATGTTGAGTCGGAATCTCCTTTCTTGTAACTTGAAGCCATTGGTTCGAGTCCTACTCTCCAGAGCAGGAGAAAACAAGCTTGCTCCATCTTCCATGTGACAGCCCTCAAGATATTTGAAGATGGCTATCACATCTCAACTCTTCTCCATCTCTTCTTTTCCAACCTAAACATACCCAGCTCACTCAACTGTTCCTTGACAGAGGACAGTCTGTTGCAATGTAAATAAATAGTAGTGTGCATCAAGAATGGGGAACCTGGTGCCCTCTGGATGTTTTTGGACTCCTGTTCTCATCAGCACCAGCCAACATGGCCAATGGCCGGGATGATGAGCATTGTAGACCAACAACATCTTGGAGGGCTGCAGCAGTAGTGGGGCAGTGGTTCTTACTTGACCTTGCAACAGCTGAGTCTCTGAGTCTCTGAAGGAGAGATGATGGGGAGGTTGTGCTGTGCAATAGCACTGGTTTGGCTCCACCAGAGCATCTTCACAGTGTTGACCTCACCACCTCACCCCTTCAACTATCCTTCCTTATCAACAGCTGCAATTCAGCTGCTGCAAGGTCAAGTGAGCACCACTGGCCCACCAGAAGTTCTTGGACTACAAAGCCTATCATCTGACCATTGCCCATGCTGGATCAGGCTGATGGGAGCTGGAGTCCAACAGTGTCAACCAACTTTCCCTGGCAATAAGCAACAGCAACTCAGCTGTTGTGAAGTCAGGGGACCAATGCCACCCTCTACACTGCCCCCTGTTGGGCTACTGGTTCCCCATTCCATGTAGGGGAGAGTTTTCAGAAACATGCCATGGTGCGAGGAATGGGTCTCACAGAGTGGGATGACAACTGGAGGATTTTACAAAGATGCACCAAGTTCCATCTGTGAAATGACAAAATAGTTGCCATGAACGCCCCCTCCCCCTCCCTTTGTCTGCCAAACTGCAAGTCGCTCCAACTCCTACTAACTGGAAAGGTGCACAGGTGGGCTTAATTGTCAATTGTGCTGACGGGCTTGTTCATTTGTGGGTTTTTTTGCTCCCGGTTTGCATAATTAGTGCATAACAACACCTGTTCTGCACAAAAGTCTGGGGAGAACTTTTGTTCCAGAAAGCGACTCCTTTTTTTGCACATAGAGAGGAATTTGCTGGAGAAACTCTCCAACTCTTGCCTTAAATGCTAGAGCTGGCCTTTCTCTTTCTTTCCCCTTGCCTTTTCCCCGTCTGTCAGAATATGAAAGCGATGAGAAACCCAAATGTCCCGCTAGTTTTTAAAGCAAAGGCCAGATCCACACCACACTTTTCAAGCACACCCAACACACACTGAAAGTTCATGACTTCCCCCAAAGAGTCATGGGAACCGTAGTTTCCCCTCACATAGCAGCAATGCGCAGCCTACTTAACAAACTACAGCTCCCAATTACAGCTTGGAAACAAAGCCTCGCGAGGAATGGTTGAGGGAGCTGGGTATTTTCAGCCTGGATAAGAGGAGGCCAAGAGGTGTCATGATAGTCATCTAAGAAAATATCTGAAGGGACAACACATGGAATCTGAAGCAAGTTTGTTTTCCACCACTGCACAGGGAAGGACTCAAACCAATGGATTCAAATGACAAGGTTCAACCAAACATTAGAAAGAACTTTCTGACAGTAAGAGCTGTTTGAAAGTAAAATGGACTACTCGGAAGGTGATGGATTATCTTTTGTTGGAGGTTTCTAAGCAGAGGTTGGATGGCCATCTGTCAGGGATTCTTTAAGCTGTGATTCCTGTCTGCAATTCTATGATTCCCAGGATTCTTTGTGAGAAGCCATGTGCTATAAATGTGCGTGTGTGGTGTTGCTGCCCTAACGAAAGCAATTCTGGGAAGCAATGGTCAAGGATTGGAAATGTAGGCCAGCAACCATTTCAATTGTTAGTCAAGATATTTTCCTTTGCACCCTCTGGTCTCCTCTTGGTTGCATCGTTTACAAAGTTCATTGTTTCTTTGATATTAAGAGAACAATAAGATTTTGCTGAGATGGTGCCTTCTACTCAAGTGGACTCCCAGGGGATGCTGGGTTGAAAGCAGGGAGCATCTTGTTGGGGAATAGGTCTCCAAAAGTAGGGACAAGGCAAGGCAAGTCTCATGGTCCACATCAGGTCCAGGGGTAAGATGAAATCCAGCCATTCAGTCAAGGCAGGTGAGGCCAGATCCAAGGCAAGGCAGAAGATAGCTGGCAAGGACTTCAGAGAGTTCTTCTTTTAGGAATGTAATGGTGTTGCAAGGCCATCAGAGTGTTCCTATCGCTGCCACCTACTGGCTATCACACTATTAACCCTCAATTATAATTGTTCATAAAACCTAACATCTTGATAAACTTCCCTAAAAATCTCCAGCGCTGGACCCCAAAGATTTTTGTCCCAAAGGACAACTCCCAAAAACAAATGTACAATGTACAATATGCAAACTGAAATGCACCCATCTTTGAAAATTCACACTTCTCTGAATTTTGCAGTGCAGTTCTCCAGCCAGGTAATGTGTACCAAAAAATAAAAAATACAAAAGCTACATGTGGGCACACAGAGAAATGCATATATTTGGGGAAAGACCATACAAAATTGAACGTTTAGAGGGAATTGCATAGCAGGCATGTGCATATTGGTTGAAATTGCACCAAAACATTATAAATTGGGAGAAATTTGCACCAGCATGCAGATGAATTTTCGTGATGATTCATTTTTTAAAATAGTAATCATCATCATAGACTGATTTGGGAGTATGGAAAACTGAATTTAAGTCTGAAAAAAAGAGAAGGAAACTGAAAGAGACTAAAACTGACAGATTCACATACCCCTACTCAGAGGTTTGGAGGTGGTGGGGCTGAGTTGGTAGAACATAAGAATCTTAATGTCATGGTCATGGGTTTGAGCCCCATACCGGGCAAAAGATTCCTGCATTGCAGGAGGCTGGACTAGATGACTCTCATGGTTCCTGCCATCTCTATAATTCTATAATTCTATGTGCAAAGCATTAAAAGATGGGAGCTACTTCAGTTATGCTCTAATGCACACCAGCATTTGAAATATGGAAACAGATAAGCTGGCAGGTTGGTGCAGAGAAATTTCCCCCCTCCCAGCTGCAACCGTGCCTTCCCTCAGCTTCCTGTCCAAAATGTTGAGTTATTCCTGTGGAGAACGACCAGCCAGCTCAACCACTGGAGATCAGCCAAAAGCACCTGCCTTTCTTCTGCACCAAAGCTATTAATTGCTTATGGACACTGAGCTTTTGACATCTACGTCCAGGAGAGTGGAAATGATCGATGCACTGAGGACCTCAATGAAAGGCCATTAATGTTTACTAGCTAGCTGCCCACCAGGTGGGGAGGTTAATCATGCAAGGTCCAGCTTGTGCCTGTGTGAGCTCAGGATCTCCGAAAGTGCAAATTGGGCAATGGGTGAAAGGAAAAGATTGGGTAACTTTGGCTCTTGTTGTCACAGCAGCTATTTTCTGAATGAATGTGATGCATGCAAGAGAGTGGCAGACAAGGACTAAGGAGACCCAGGTTTAAGTTAAGGCTACATGGGGCTACCTTTGAGGGTGACCTGGAAACTACAACTAATCCAGAATGCGGCAGCTGGACTGGTGACTGGGAGTGGCTGCCAAGACCACATAACACCGGTTTTGAAAGGCCTACATTGGCTCCCAGTACGTTTCCGAGCACTATTCACAGTGTTGGTACTGACCTTGAAAGCCCTAAATGGCCTCAGCCCAATATACCTGAAGGAGTGTCTCCACCCCCATCGTCCAGCCCGGACACTGAGGTCCATCTCCGAGGGCCTTCTGGTGGTTCCCTCACTGCAAGAAATGAGGTTATAGGCAACCAAGCAGAGGGCTTTCTCAGTGGTGGTGCCCACCCTGTAGAATGCCCCCCCATCAGATGTCAAGGAGATAAACAACTATTTGACTTTTAGAAGACATCTGAAGGCAGCCCTCTTTGGGGAACAAAATAAAAAAAATCCTTCTAGTAGAACCTTAGCGACCAACTAAGATTGTTATTGGTATGAGCACACGAAAGCTTGTACCAATAACAAACTTAGTTGGTCTCTAAGGTGCTACTGGAAGGAATTTTTTTTATTTTGTTTCGACTATGGCAGACCAACACGGCTACTACCTGTAACTGTTTGGGGAAGTTTTTATTGTTTGATGTTTTATCATGTTTTTAATATACTGTTGGGGAAACCCAGCCAGATGGACGGGGTATAAATAATAGATCATGATGATGATGATGAACTCAAGAGTTGTTGGTGCCCACGGGACTGCTATTGGCAGGGAGGCCAACATCAGATGGGGCCTGAGCCAATGACAGACAGCTCTGAAACCAATGGCAGGCACAGCAAGCTAAATTTGCCTTTATCCCTATTCTCTTTACTGCTGAATTCTACAATGGGCAAATTTAAGATGGGGGGTGGGGAGCTGACAGGCAGTGATGCTCCTATGATGGGTTGTAAGTAAGAGAAGGCATACCAGTAGGTGTGGCCTGGCTAATGGCAGAGGGAAGTTCATTTCCCCAACTGAAGCAGCTTCCACACTCACACAAACCCTGTAAATCCCATAGTCTTTTGAGAAGGATTCCTGGTGTTTGGGGGTGATTGAATGTGCCAGTTTCATGGGGCGGTAGCTGCTTTGCTCCTATCAGGTGGCAGCTGGCACCTCCTCTGTCCCAAATGTGTGGAGCCCATCATCCCCCCCCCCCATCCAGGGGTGCTAACTTGAATATTTTTGGGGGGAAGACAAGTAAGCCATGTCCTGCGTTATCAATCACATGTTGCAGTGCACAGAAACACTTGAATGGCAATGCCCATAAAATCAGGATGCCCTCAGCTCACTCCAATATTTTAATGGGAATGATGATGATGATGATGATGATCATGAGGAGGAGGATTTGCACACTATCTGAACCAGCTTGATGCTTCCAGCAGCAACTGATGTCTGGACATACACAAGCAGTGTGCAAAGGTGACTAGATCTATATTGCAGGTATTATGCCTCTGAATATGGAGGTTCCATGATTGCTTTCAGTGCGATCTATCATTACGCTCTATGGATTTGTTGACTTGTTTTTAATTGTCTTGATTCTAGTAGAGCCTTGTTTGTGAAAATGTTGGCCGTGGCTCTGGTAATTTGACACAGCCTGCATTAACAATGACTTTGGGGGGGAGTCTCATTGTGCCATACTAATTCCGGCTAATTAATTCTGAGCTGCGTCAACGATGCACACACAAAACCCTCTGTTCTACTTACCTGTATATTTCTTTTTTTAAAAAAAAAAAATCTGCATAACCTGACTTCATTAGATTTGACAGCTATCCCCTTTGATAATATTCTTTACACCATGGATATCACTGTAGACTGCCTGCGCTTGTTACTGCTAACATCTGGCATGAAGCCCACATTGCACGCCAGCCGAAGCTTCATCCTTTCATTACTCAACATGCCTATAAGAAGGTTATAGACTTATAGTGCAAGTGCTAAATTAACTTCAAGATTGATTAGGCAGTGCAGACACGAATCGGGCTCTTCGTGATCCTACTGTTTCTTGGTGGCTGGGGTCTGGAAACGGCATATGCTTTCAAATCCTCAGGAGCGTCAAAGAAGTGGAGAGACTGAAAGGAAAAAAGCTAGCAAAACAACAACACAAAAAAATGATGCCTTTACAATGTGTGAACATGAGCGTGCAAGCACAGGGCGAGAGATAAGGTTATGGTGTCTGTGTGGAGTGTGTGTGTGTGTGTTGTATTTCTTCCTGAAGGGCTTTTCCAAATGGCCTGCTTATTGAGGAGTCAGAAGTTAGGCGAGGTCCACTTTTTGTGGAGCATTTGTTGATTTGCTATTTATTGCATGACCAGGCGCAACAGCCCCAGCCCCCAGGGAATGTGGGAAAGAAAATAAAGACTCTGACCATGTTACAGAATTAAAATTAGGCCACAACTTTATTAAACTTCCGAATGTAGGAGGACCTTGGCGTAGGCCTTGGGCGTATATCCCTCCCAGCCCCCCAGCTGGGAAACTGGGGCACATCACGGTAAATACGATATGGGGGTGCTCTGCGCGATGTAAGTGTAGGCAGGCAGCTGAGCCCATATCCCCACATGCAGGGTAGTTCACTGACAACCTTTCAGTGTATGGCCAGTGACATCCATTTATGTAACCCCTTTAAGAGGGGACCCTGGAATTGCCACCGCAGGGGGTGAATCACCACTTCACACCCACCCACCCCATTACAAGGAAGAAAAGACTAAAGACTACGTTTCTGAGCACAATTCAAAGTGTTGGTGTTGACCTTTAAAGCCCTAAATGGCCTCGGTCCAGTATATCTGAAGGAGCGTCTCCACCCCCAACATTCTCCCCGGACACTGAGGTCCAGCTCCGAGGGCCTTCTGGCACTTCCCTCGCTGCGAGAAGTCAAGTTACAGGGAACCAGGCCGAGGGCCTTCTCAGTGGTGGCACCTGCCCTGTGGAACGCCCTCCCACCAGATGTCGAAGAGAACAACTACCAGACTTTTAGAAGACATCTGAAGGCAGCCCTGTTAACCTATTAATGTTTAATAGGTTATTGTATTTTAATATTCTGTTGAAAGCCGCCCAGAGTGGCTGGGGAAACCCAACCAGATGGGCAGGGTATAAATAATATATGATGATGATGACGATGATGATGCTTGAGTTGAGATTCCTGCATTGCAGGGGGTTGGACCAGATGACTCTTGGGGTCCCTTCCAACTCTACAATTCTACCATTCTATGCTTGCCCTGCCATCTCCACCACTGGGAGAGAAATGGTGCTGGCATCAGCGCCAATTTCATGTGAGATTTCACCTGACTGGAGCAAGTTCTCACCGAAATAGTGCAATACCTTGCTGGCTCCACAAGATCTCACACGATTCCAGCTGAAACGGGCACAGACGTTGGCATTGCTTCTTGCGACAGAGGTGGCACAGCAGGCAAGGTGCACATGGGGCTGCTGCCTCGAGGTCTTCTGCCACCTGAGACAGCCACCTCAGTCTGCCTAATGGTGGAGCCGTGTCTGATTGCATTTATATCTCACCATTTTTCTCCAAGGAGCTCAAATGAAACGACGAGCTAAGATCCGTCATGAAAAAGATAATAAAAGCAAAGAGAATAACAGCATAAGATAAAACAGTGTAAAATATATTCCATGGTGGGATGCAAGGTTCGTATAGATGCAAAATATATCAAGTACCGGTATTCATAAACATCGCCCGAAAAAAATCATATTTAGTGCCACCCATGACATTGTTTGATCATATAAATCACGAAAAGCCCCCTCAGAGTTCTTCACATCTGTTTGGGGGCTTAACTTGATGTTAATATTGTTACTTTTTAATGTTAATATTCAATATTGGTATTGTCTTAGCCTGCCCTGGGAACTTATGATGAAGAATGAGCAAGAAAGCCAACAAATAAAATGAAATCTTCTTTAGGGGAAGAATGGAATGCAGGAAAAAATGAGCACAAATCAAACACCACTTTGAAAAACAAAATGGGGTGGTGCAAATCTTCAGCTGAGCACATGCAGAGCGGAAATTGGAAGCTCCTTCCATTTGTAGAGCTGAGGATCAGACGTTCAGAGGCAAAAGTGGGAGATATGTTTCAGTCCCATTCTGGGGTCTCCTGGGGGGGCCAATCTGCATGGTTAATTGGGGCAAAGAAAAGAAAAGAAGGGAAGTTGCCAGGCTAGCTGGTATTAAAAGCCGGCGAAAGTCACAAAAAATCAGTTTGCTAATTTCAGATCAGTCTCGCTAATCACGTTCTTAATAAGGCTCTGTGCATAATCTGCCACCGTCAGCGTGCCTCTGGTTTCCTCCGGGCCTCGGTGTGAGTCACAGGGCTCCCGCTCCGATTCCTTCCACACCCAGCTCTCCCCGACGACATTGCAGCAGCCGGCCAACTCCAAAAGGCAAAGGGGCCATGAACGATATCGCAGCGAATGTTGCTGGGCAGCCTCAAAGGCACGGATAGCGCGGCAGAGACAGCTGAAATAAGTGCCTCTTCTTTCTCCCCCTCTTCCACCAAGATCCATTTCAAGAGGAGATTCTGCCTTGGAGGCAATGGGCTGGCTGACTCATCAAAGGGCAAAGTTAATTGGGCAGCCTGCCCCGGCTGCCTCTAGTGGCATTGCAGTTCACTGCCACTGTAAATGCTTTATTGGGGAAATTGCACTCTTTCTTACTATTCGTGGGTGGGAGCATAAGAACAAAAGTGGATCCCTGTTAGATCTGGTCCAGCAGCCTTTTCCCCCATGGTTGCCAACCAGATGCTTTCGGGGGTAGAGTTGTGCCAATATAGCTCCTCCGTTTATTCATGAGACTTTTAATCTCAGGGTTGTGGGTTCGAGTCTTACCTTAGGCGAAAAATTTCTGTGTTGCAGGGGGTTGCACTAGATCGCCTGCATGGTCCCTTCCAACTCTACAATTCTATGATGGTGGTGGTGATGATGATGATGCTATTTATTTATACCCCACCCATCTGGCTGGGTTTCCACAGCAACTCTGGGTGGCTTCCAACAAAATATTAAAAATACAATAAAACATCAAACATTAAAAACTTCCCTAAACAGGGCTGCCTTCAGATGTCTTCTAAAAGTCAGATAGTTGCTTATTTCCTTGACATCTGATGGGAGAGCATTCCACAGGGCGGGTGCCACTACTGAGAAGGCCCTCTGCCTGGGTCCACCTTTTCTTTCAAGAAGCTCAAGGTAGTGTATGTGGTCCTCCCTCTTCTCATTTATGCGACACAACAGCCCTGTGAGGTAGGTTTGGCTGAGAGGCAGCAACTGGCCCGACATTGCACAGTGAATTTCATGGATGAGTGGGGACTTGAACCCTAGTCTCCCAGGTCCTAGTTCAACACTCTAGCCACTACTCCACAGAAGCTCTCCATAAAAAGAAAGAGTCTGGTCTAGAGCATCTTTGTGGTGAGATGGGAAGAAGGGCACATAGCCACTTCCTGGTCTCCTCTGTGAATATTAGCCAGGGATGGGGAGGAGTGGGTGTGTATATCAGGAAGCCCTACCCAGATCCTTCCATTTGCAGCCACCACCCATCC